TAAGACTCAAAAGATTGTATATGTGGCTGGACAGAAAATTGAAGATAAGGCACACAAAATGTTACCAAACCGAGAGCACTATTTTGCTAAAATTTTCACTCCTTGGCTTTTTCTTGTGTTCTTTTCTTTTGTTTTCTTTTGTGATTTCTTTTGTTTTTTTTTTCTTTGTTAACACAGGAGTTTAATGCCTTTTAATCAAGTATTAATCTCGGATTTAAGCATAAAAATCTGCTGCAGAAATTTTCACACAAAACAAGAGGTGTTCACATGCAATGTTCAACTAGTGCTTCACAATTTTGTACTATTTTTTTTGTCAAATTTTTAAGCACTCTTTCTCTTGTTTTTCTAATGTTTTTAGAACACAAACACCTCTGTTTTGTCTCTGTTTTAAGTGCCTAAAAAGTGTTAAAAGTTTCAGCCACAACACAAGACTCAAAGAAACCTAATAGGAATTAGTGTTTAACAATTTTTCTTGACAAACTTTTAACAAGACATAAAGGAAACCTAACTCTAAGAAATTTGCTAGAACTAATAGCAAATCATGAACTCAAATATGTAAATCAAAAGCACATATAAGTAAGGTTCAGATTTAATAAGAAAATACATAAAAAGATTCGGACACAAACAACACACAAAAAATTAGGTCAACAAGCTAGTCTAGGAATTTTCAACATGAAAAGGACTACACATGACTTCTATGACAAAACAAGTGATTCAAAAATAAAACTAATGCAATATGAATGTTGTCCAATCACGGACACATGTTAAGGAATGGAGAGACTCAAACAAACATAAAAAAAAAAAACACAAGAACAACAGTCCTAAAAGAACAAACCGAATTAATTCACAAGAATTGGAAACAAGCAAAATATGAATCAATTACTTCTCATGAGACATATAGGATCCATCAAAATATGAAATAAAACTAGATCCATACAGCAACACAAATTTAGACAAAGATAAGGAAGGAACAACACGGATTCAATGAAGAAAAAATTAGAAACACATAACCTCAAGAGCACTAGGCTCTAGATACCAAAACTGATGGAACTACTTGGAGAAGATTGATGAATCTTCAAGTGCTCCATTCCAAGACCTTTAAACTCTTGAGGTTGACCACGAATTTGGATGAGGAACTCCTTTGAAGAAGCTTCAATGGAGAAGAATCACCAAGGAGGTTCGGTTACTCCATGAAAGAGTGATGAAGCTTGTTGAACAAGCTAAAAGGTTGGAAACCTTTGAGAGAAACTTAGAGAGAAAGTCTCTCCACGAAATTTAGGACTTTAAGAGGAGAGAATTTGAGTCAAATTCTGATTTCATATCTCAAAAAGTGAAGTACAATGAGAAATTTAGAAATATATAGGGAGAGGTAGCTTGTAGAGGAAGCTAACCTTAACCATGGTTCACTAGGAACCATGGTAAGGTGTAGCTAACCATCCATGGTTTCTAAAACTTGTAGGAGAAGCTAACCTTGACCATGGTTCACTTAAGAACCATGGTAAGGTCAGCCAAACCTACTAAGGTTTAGAAGCTTGGAAGGAAAGCTTCAAAGCTTGTAAGAGAAGCTAGAAATTTCGGCCAAGAATAAAAGGAATGAGCTAGGCGGGCAAGGCTCAAAAATGCTCCATGATTTATTTCAAAAATATTTGATTTGGTTTAGTTAGGTTCATCATATGATGATGAGACCTAGCTAAATCAAATCTATGAAAAATTAGGAGCAAAATGAGTCTAATATGCAAAATTTTGCCTAGGCCCAGTTCTGGCCCAATTACTAGTCACACCCTCAAGCATTGCTAAATGCCACCCCTTTTTCCCTACTGAAAAAATATAAAATGAATGTATCAACAAAGGAGGTTAAATGGAGTTAAACTCTCCAAGTAACCCACCCTAAAATCAATATACAATCACTAATTAAAAGCAAGTAAAGTGCCTCACAAATACAAAGGCAAAATTAGACCTATACAAAGGAACTATGTACAAAATATATGAAAAAGGTATTTAAGATCATCTCATTCCTCTTGGTTCTTTTAAGATATCACCTCTTGGATTCCTTGGTCTTGACCATAATCTATCATTTGTTATGTTAAATGTGAAATTTCACGCTTAACATCACAATTTCAAAGGTCAATTTTATTATTTTTTGTCTCACGTTAAACGTGTAATTTGAGATATTTTTTTCTTATATGATTCCATCTCTCATTTAGAATAGTGATCCTTTTTATAAGTTAGGTAATTCTTCTCATTTTAAGAACATCTATTTACTGACTTTGTATTATAACATTACAAGAGAAAAATAAATATATAAAATAAGTACAACATTTTTAATTCTAAACATCCTTAAAAAATAATATTATTCTATATTTAAATAATATCTTAAAATTTTGAGATTAGAAATTTGAATTGTCATCTCAACAACTCTTTCCTCTATTAAAATATTCGAATTCATTAACTTTTGTTGTCATGGATTTTCGTTACAACCATATTGAATCGTATTTCTAAACATTTGAGTTTCCTTTACCTCTATATCGTGAGTATTTGATGAACTTGCACGATTGTTGGCTACCACCAACAAAATACGTTGCTTGCTTTCCATATCATTAAGAAGACTTTTGACATTACGAACCACCATTAGCTTCATCAAGCTTAAAAACTTGTGTGATAGTTCACCATGCTAAATGAACCATGAGCTTTGATACCATTATCAGGAACAATAGGACTTGTTTTTTTTACGTACAATGATGACATAATACACAAATTAAAACGCCATAAAGAAATAGAGAAATAAAACACAATATGTTCACTACAACATCTTAATGAATGTTTATTATTTTAAATAAATTGTACTACAAGTTTTCTGGTGAAACTTGATAAATCTTTTCAAAAAAAATTTGGTAAAACTTGAGAAACCTTATCTTGATATGACCTTCTCTCTTATTTAGGGTGATGACATCCTATATAGGTTGAGTGATTATTCTTATCTTAAGAACATTTGTTAACATAAAAATTAATTATTAACATTTGCTTATAAATAAATAAAAACATCTATTTATTAACCTTGCATCATAACACTATCACACAGAAAATAAGTATCTAAAGTAAGTACAATAATTTTGACGAATAAAAATAACATTCCCTTTTCAATTTATTCTTTTCTGATGATTGAGTTAATTATGTAA